ATAATAAAATAAGAAATATAAAAAATAAAATAAGTGAATCACTACTAAATAAAAAAACTGTATGAAACTGAAGGGTTCAACCATAACATCCAGACAAAGGTCACAAAGATTCAATATGAATGAATTATAATTCTGTTTTATTTTTTTTATTTTTTATTTTAATTGCTCATGATCTATTTGCACTCCCTTTTTGATCTGCTGGTTGATCGTAGAATTTATTGGACAGATATTATCTGTAACCAATCGAAGGAAAAAAGCTTTAATCAAACTTCACAAATGATTCTGACACGGAAAGAAAAACTCAATGAATGAAATGTTAACTCTCTTTTTTCTTTGCAGTCATTGTCGTCTCTGTCAACAGTCTCAGTGTCAAACTGGCAAACTACGTGCAGAATTTCTTCACGGCAGCCAAACTTTTAATCATCGTCATCATCATCGTAGCTGGGATCGTATTGTTGGCTCAAGGTGAGCTGTTAGATTCTGATGAAATAATAAACAACATTTTCTTCCTAATTGTTTTATTTCACTCTGCAGGAAACACTGAGAATTTCACCAACGCGTTCAAAGGCCCACAGCCGTCGTTTGGATCCGTTGGCCTGGCCTTTTATTATGGGTTTTGGGCTTACGATGGATGGTAACCTCTAACAGTTTGTCTTAAATAAGAAATTTAAGGTTGAGCCTCTTTTCAATCACGTCATATAAGAACATTAAACATTAGACAAGACTAATATTTCTACTTTTTTTTTTTTATATTTCACCCAACGGTTTCACCCAGGAATCAACTGAATTTTATCACAGAAGAACTTAAAGACCCGTTCAGGTGAGACAGCTGTGTGTGTGAGCAAGTTTTATATATTTTTTTATTATTATTTTTAACTTTAACAACATATGTTAACTGTAGAAACCTGCCTCTGGCCATTATCCTTGGGATCCCATTGGTTTCTGTTTGTTATGTTATGGTCAACGTTGCCTACTTCACTGTCATGACGCCCTCTGAGGTGCTGTCCTCTTCAGCCGTGGCTGTGGTGAGAAATAACCACTGTGGCTATGATGTCATTTATGATCATGATTATCTCGTTTCCCGACGACATATTCATACAGTATATAGTAAATGATGTTAAACTACTCACTCATTACTACTAGACGTTATGGTTTGGACTATTTGTTGCTAAAAATCATTGTGTCTAATTCTATATTTACTTTTTTTCCCCTGCTTTTTGTATATAATTTGTGGATTTCAGACATTTGGAGACAAGGTCTTACATCCCATGTCCTGGATCATTCCCATTTTTGTTGTTTTCTCCACATTTGGTTCTGCTAACGGGAGCTGTTTCGCTGCTGGCAGGTAGAAGACAACATGATGATTTGCATCAATTTTGCTGTTGTGTTCTTCCTGAAAAAATAAAATTCAGTTTTTATAATTAAAACTTTGACCAAAATAAAATTTAATTTCTGCTTTTTTCCCCCCTCTCCACAGAATTTCCTATGTATCAGCCAGAGAAGGTCACATGGTGAAGGTTCTCTCCTATATTAGTGTAAAGTACTTGACTCCATCACCCGCAGTCATATTCAATGTAGGTTCTTACCATCTGACCTGTTCCATGTTTACCACAAAGTCCATTATTATATTCTGTTATATAGTTCTGTCATCAACACGGTCACTGTCAGCAGACAGACATCTTTGTTGTTAGCTCTTTGTTGTCTTGTATTTCAGGGTCTTCTGGCTATTTTCTACCTCATGCCGGCTGACATTAACAGCCTCATTAACTACTTCAGTTTTGCCCAGTGGATGTTTTATGGTCTGACGTCACTGGGTCTCATCGTGATGAGGTTCACAAGGAAGGACCTCCACCGACCGGTGAAGGTGAGGCTCTGAGCTCAGGTCCAAGTTTAGTCCAGTCTAAAACCTGTAATTATGACCTCAGATGACTGACCATGATGAGTATAGTAGTGTATATTTGTTTATTTATTTATTTTTCTGCAGGTGCCGATCGTCCTACCCGTTCTTCTGTTGGTGGTGTCCTTCTACTTGGTCTTGGCTCCGATCATCGACAAACCAGCCATTGAATATCTCTTCTCCGTCCTGTTCATTTTGAGCGGACTTCTTCTCTACTATCCTTTTGTTCACCGCAGGGTGCAGTGGGCGGACAGACTCATGAGTAAGTGGAACAACAACAACATTTAAGTGACATCATAGTCCAGTGGAGGGCGCCGGTTAGTCAAACAGGCAGGCAGGGGTATTTAAAAAAAGTTACCAGCTGGCTCCTGGTAGCTCAAAGCTTCACCTCCCGTTCTAACTTCAATGACAGTTATGTTATTAGTGGTGATGGAGACCTGGTCATGAAGTGATATTTCTAGTTTTCACACCTGAGCGTTCTTCCACAGAAAAGAACATTTTCCACTGCTTCTTCAAAGTGATCTTCAACGGAGTTCAACAGATTCTGAATGCACGAAATACACAGTTCAATTGGTTTTAGAAAGTTAGAAATTGAGTAAATTAAATAGAAATAAAACTCTAAATATTTGCCTACTCTTTTTTTTTTTTGACATTTTAGAGGAATTCCGCGCTGACTCAGGGTAATCAACACTGATCCAGTGTGATTTTGTAAATTAAAAAAAAAAATGTTTCTGCATTTCTCTGCAGGGCCCATCACCGTTTTCCTGCAGATGCTGCTAGAGGTCGCTCCTCCAGAGAAATTTGAGTGAAAAGGACAGAAAGAAGCACTGTACTGACACCTGCTGTTTGTCGCGGATCCTGCTTTCTGAGCCAAAGGAAAGGGAAGTATAGAAACATGATTGGCACAAAGACAAAGACGTCAAAGATGAATCACCAGAATTCAGCAGGTCCTCAAGAGGATGTTGGGAAGTGTGTATATTTTTTTTAAAGTTGGGTGATGATTTTTTATTTTTTTAAAGGTTTTCTTTCTCCTCTCATTTTTAGTCTTTTCGAAGCACGGAGTGAATAAGAGTTTTGAACAACTGGGGCATTGAAGGCATTGAACAAGTCAAGGTTTACCAGTCAATGGATATTTAATCGAAGGAATTTTTTTTTATTTATGTATACTTTTATTTTTGTTCCCTGTGCCAGGACAGTAAATCAAATCATCTTCTTTATGATCATTTTGTCACTCACAACATCTCAGAGCATCGTTTACCACCATCCAAGAGTTTAGTGGACGACCTCGTCATAATTGTTGTGTAATTTCTAACCTGTAGTAGAAACCGTTGGTGTCGTTTTCCCACAGTCCAATGTTTTTAGCGTACACTCTTGTACCGTACTTAGGATGACAAAACAGCAGCTGTTGCTCTGGTCACCTACCAGTGACAAGGAACTAAAGATGACCGCAATGACACGTGCCCCGACGAGGAAAACATGTTGTGGTCTGTGCTGCCGTGGGATAAAGTGCTGACCTGGTAAAACCTAGTTTTCTATGCTAATTGTTGAAACTCATTTCCTTCTTCATACAAAATGTGATGATGATACTGTGAGAATTCTGTTTTGCAATTGTCGCTTTGTTTTGTACGTTTGGTAGATTTCTAAAAAAAAAATCTATAAAATATATTTAACTCTTGTGTAGTGTTTTTCCAGGATGAAAATCTTTAGTTGTTGTCTTTGTGTACCCTTTCCAACACTGCATTCAGGTCTGGTGAGAACAGAGTCACTTATTTATAATTATTTTAATGTCTCTTAACTTTAGACATAATTATTGAGGATTCAAAGATAATTAAACCTGATGAAAAAATGCACCTTCAACTTTCAACAAAGTGACTTTTCAAAGAAAGGAGCAGAGTAGTGGAGCGTTGATCACAAGGAAAGCCACAAAAATGTGCATGGACACGCTTACAGGGTGTCACATATCTGCATCAAAGAAGTGTTTGTTGGTGCACTCTGGTGACTTCCCTCTGCTTGAGGTGTTTGCTATTAGCTACTGGAGGAACGTCAAAACAGTGGAAATGTCTCAGCTGGTTTTGGCTGAAGTCAGTCGGAAAAGGAGAGAACCACTGGTTTGTTAATGATTGGTAATAGTCATAATTTAGTGACACGCCTTTAAAACGAAGGTGCCAAACATACGGCATGCGGGCCAAAAATCAAAAACGAAGGTGCCAAACATACGGCATGTGGGCCAAAAACCGGCCCACTAGGAGGATCAATCTGGCCTGATGAATTTATAAAAAATAGAAAAAAATTACACAAACACTTCAGTAATATTCAGGATATGTTTTGAAAAAAAAAATTCAGCAAATATAAAGAATTATCTAATATACTTCTAATACATATAAAAATGGAAAGGGAAAACCATGGACTTGGAGTGTTATTTATAGGTAATTATTATTAATGTACTAGTCCGGCCCATTTGACATATATTTTTCTACACAGTGTCTACAGTGACAATACATGGGTGGAAAAAGGACCAGACGATGACGATGTTTTCTTGAGACTGTGGTAGCCGGCGCTTCCCTTATTGCTGTTGCATGCTGGGGCAGCAGCCTCAAGGCGGCAGATGCTACTAGACTCAATAAATGTATCTGCAAGGCGAGTGACATTGTAGGGCTTGAAGTAGACTCTCTGGTGGTGGCAGCAGAAAGAAGAATGTTGTCAAAGCTCAGGTTTATCTTGGACACAGATTCACATCCTGCCTCTTTAGCTCCTCCCTCTGCATGTTATCAGTATTACATTCAGCACAGACTGCAAATCTACTCTATTTCTCTTGGTCTTTGCAAAATTCTCTCACAGGAGCAACTGTAACACCAACAATTTGTCCCCTGAGGATCAATCACGTATTTCCTCAAAGACCTCCAGTTGTTCCAGATCGTTCGGACTCGAGGTGTAGTGGAACGATGGCCTGAGGTGTGACTTTTTAGACCTTCTCCCTTGATCTCTTTCTTATTCCTTTAAGGCAGGAGGTCCAATCAGATCCGGCAACCTCCCACTTCAGGGTGTGTTCAGATTCTCATTTACATCAGGCATTACTGTTTCACTTCACCTAACTTGGATCAGTGTAATCGAGGAGTGTTACTGGGGCTTTAAAAGACAAAAAAACAGAAGTGAACGTTCAACATTCATGGAGTAGAAGCGAAGACGCGTGTAGGTGAGAACACTCTGATCTGTTTTAAGGTGTCATCACATATCAACTCGCACCGTTTAGAAAGATAGCTTTAAATATTCTTCATGAAATCAATTATTATGTTTCAAATCTATTTCTTTACAAGTACTTTTATTAATTTAAAACATTTAAAATCTTGTAACTTTATCTTATGTCATGACTCAGTGACTTTATGTTGAGTCACTTACAATGACAGTAATACAAACCCCAAACCACAAGGAGTTCTTTTACAGGGAAATTACTCACCTGACAGTAGTGAAGTCATTTTGCTAATTTTTATATTCAAAGAAACCAAACCTGAGTGGTGAATCTAAATCAAAACATTTCAAACAGATCTAAGAATGAATCATTTTCAGAGGAATTTATTTAACACGCTGATGTAATTGTTCTATTTTTCATTGTGATTTTTTTCCCTAAAACTGCCAGCACTTGATACAACCTCTCATTGTCAACCTTATCATTTATGTCACTGCCTTTCAATACAAGATTTAGGATTCGGTATGGCAATGTTAACACATGCAGTTGGAAAAATAGAAAATGATGTGGCTGGTGTTGAAAACCATGTCTGCACTTTGTGCTTCTTTTTGCCACTTGCAGCAGAAATGGGTGAAGACGGCTTCAGTGAGACCAGGGAGACACAGAATGGCTCCTTTGGTCTCAGCTTGGATTCTGATCAGAAGGACAAGCAGCCTGCAAATGTCACCATGCTTCGGAAAGATGTGAGTTTATTAAAAACAGCAACTCAATACCTGGCAGTACTTCGACTGCAGGCCTGACTGTTTATTTAGATTAGTCTCTGTTTCCCCATACTAGATAGGTGTGTTTAGCAAAATCCATAGTGAAAGTCTTGCTATAGTTTCTTCATTTGGTGTAAATGATCTTGATTTGATTGTATCAAATATCAGCAAATGTAATACTGATGTTGAAGAAAAACACAGCACTAAGTCCTGGGGCACGCCAGTTTAAAGGATTAGCGTGGAAGAGCTATTCACTGACTCCCTGCTGTGTGATGCACCATTGTTGCATGCACAGACAGTTGAGTTACATGAGAATAGAACACGCCCCCTGCTGTCAAACAAAGAAATCCACTTGAATGACAGGTAAAATAGTCGTTAAAAAAAGAAGAAAAGACTTAACTAAACGGATTGGAATCTGCTAAACTTTAGAGTTTTTTCCTCTAATGGTTCAATAGCATACCTTCTGTTTTAAAGCAGTAATCACGATGATTCTCATGAAAGTCCCCCCTCTCCCCACAGAACCTTTGTTGTTGTTGTTAAGTCCCCCCTCTCCCCACAGAACCTTTTATTAAGTTGTTTCAACATCAATCATTGAAATCATTGAATAACAACTGATTTAGAAACGTTTTACCAAAACTCTGTCTTATTTCAGTGAGACAATTGACAACGTATCCTCTCTCTGTTCTCTGTGTTCGATTAGGTTGGTCTGGTGAGCGGCATCTGTCTCATTGTGGGGAGGATGATTGGCTCAGGCATCTTCATTTCTCCCAAGTCTGTCCTGTTGTACTCCGGTGGTGTTGGACCCTGTCTCCTCATATGGGCCTCCTGTGGTGTCATTGCCACTCTAGGTGAAAACAAAGTTAAAATAATTACTTTTTAAAAAAGGGATGAAACACAGTTTTGTCCAAATTTTGTAACTTCTTTACGTTTTCACAGTCACAAAACACACATTTAAGTCCAACTTAAACCAGAATGCAATTGTGACGGGATCCAATCACTGCTCGCGGCAGTCGTTCCGTTAATTAGCAGTTAGCACAGACTAGCTTCTAATGGCGAATGGATATAACTTAATAATACACCGGGTGAGCCTTCATCCTGCGCACAGCGACTGTCATGTAGACTGGGTTTGAACCCTGTTTGTTTTTCCTCCTTAATTGTTTTACAAACGTTACGGTATTTTCTTTTGCCCTTCGCTTGTATGAGAGATACGGCGTTACAAAATGGTCGCTTTACATTTACATTGTAAAGCGACCAAATCGGGACGGGTTTTATGACGGTTAAACATATTTTTAAAAATCACTTAAAACTATTATGACCATAATAGATGCAACAGTGTGGGTTACAGTACACAAAGTGAAGAAGGTGACGTTACATTTAGGTTAACCCTGTAACATAATCAGTAAAACGTTATTTTGTCGTTAGGTCTTACAATTCTACGCCCCTCCTGATTTACTTAAAGGCAACTAATATGATATTTTACTGCTGTGGATAAATATTTATAACAGATTTATTATTTTTTTAAATGCCAGTTTAACATTCTTAACAAAGACGCACATTGAACTTTGTTCTTGGAAAATAAATGTGGTCAATGTTTAAGTAAACTGGAATCACACATGCTCGGGATACAAGTTGGGCAAAACATTAACGCACATAAAATTAGTTCTGTCAGCACTTATGTTCATAGTTCACTCACTGATATACTGAGGACACTCGTTTGACATCATTCATAATAAAAGTGAAATTCCACAAAGCAAATTTAGTCGTAAAAAGGTGCAGCGTAAAAACAGATGGTTTCTGCTCCTTGTCTACAGTGTTTGTTTCAGTTCATGACATAAAATAAGTATTAATGTAATAATATAATATTTTCACTTGTCAATGTTAACAATAACTGTTAAAACTTACTTTAAAACATTGGAATGTCATCGCGTTAAACTTTATAATTTCCTAAGACTTTGATCGGATGTGTTGCATGATTCGTACATTTTTAGTAAAGTTTAAACTCTTTTTCTGAATTTCTTAACAGACAATATGATTTAACTCTCTCTTTCTCCCCCTGTGTGATCTGTGTGTCCACAGGAGCGCTGTGCTACGCTGAGCTCGGCACCATGATCACCAAATCTGGAGGAGACTACTCCTACATCATGGAGGCCTTTGGCCCGGTTGTAGCTTACCTCTTCTCCTGGACCACTGTTATTGTGCTGAAACCTTCTGCCTTAGCGATATTAACGCTGAGCTTAGCAGAATACGCCATAGCGCCCTTTTACCCCGGCTGCACTCCCCCTGTGGTTGTCACCAAGTGTCTGGCAGCAGCAGCGATCAGTGAGTCTGACGGTGTGAAGTTGGTTTGGAAACATGTTGTTAATATTATAAAAAAGTGAGAATATGACGGCTATAAAAGGAGCATCAGCCACAGGCTTAGTCTTTGCGATCAAGGATGGAACATGGCTGGATTTTTTTTTTAGATTATTAGATTTTTTTTTTGTCTTGGTGGAGATTATTTTGACAACTGGGCGATGAATGTAAACATCAGCTGCAGCCCCTGAATGGGACAGTCAATAAACATAAGGGCTGGATATAGACAATCCAAACATGTCCTACGGGTTTGTTTTCAGAGGACTGGACCTAGAAAGTGAGGAAATCTTTTGAAGAAATGATACTCACAGCAGAAAAAGATTATAAGAATTTTAGCTTTTGTATTGCATGTTATTAATATAAAAAGAAGCCTCACTCATTGCTCTTATTTTCTACAGTGGTCATCGTCTCGGTCAACTGTTATAGCGTCAAACTGGCCAGTTATGTGCAGAACATCTTTACTGCAGCAAAGCTTCTCATCATTATTATAATAACTGTGGCAGGAATTGTTCTCTTGGCTCAAGGTGAGTCGTCTTGTACTATTGTCCATTTTTGTAGCACTGAAAAGAACTGTCATTGTCTAATAATTATTTTTTTTGCTGTGTGTTTCTCTGAAGGAAACACTGAGAATTTTTTAAGCGCATTCGAAGGCCCAGCACCACCTGTTGGAGAGATCGGACTTGCCTTTTATTATGGATTTTGGGCCTATGATGGATGGTAACCATTTAAGATACACATAACAAATCCTGTTTTTATATTTTATTAAGGAGTGTAACGTGACTCAGGGCCGTGATGGATATATGTCCAGGATATTTTGTTATGTCAATGTCTTCAGTTGCACTCTTTGCAGTTGCACTCTTTGCAGAATTGGGTACCAGACACCCCCCAAAAAAACCCCCACATTATCACACGGCAAAGGCAGTTATCAGGAGATTAAGTTCCCTAAACCCAAAAAATATGCTTTGTCAGCACAGACATGTGTCCACAAAGAATACTGCCTCTGGTACTAGAGCGTGTGACAGAGATTTGTTGCCCAACCGCAGTTCCTGTCTTTGTACTGAGATCAGTCAGTTCACTATCCTTACTTCCATGTTCCTTTTTACTCAGTAAGCCTAAGCCTTCTGAGCAGGTGCTAGTTATATGATTCGACTGATAGACCGACCTTCATATAATGACACAAACGCTCAGTTTACGACCTCTTGTAGTAATGATAGCAATCAAAGAGCGAAGCCAGTGTGAATTATGAAACACCGGTGATCATAACACATGATAACTGTTACAGATAAGGTATGCACTAAAAACTAACACTAAAAAAACTAACAGAACCTCCCGCCCCAAACCTATATAAATCTTCCTGTTTGTGTGAGGATGGGTGGAGCCCCATGATCTTTGATGTGAAGGAATCTCAGTCTGTTCCTGTGAACAAAGGACATATGTTACTTTCTTCTTTGTCAATGTGGTTGTCTTTACTACGAGGAAGCTGATGTAAAAACCAGATGAAACCCATAATATAATTTTTATTGTTTATTTTAATAATTCTTTATTTAAATGTATACAGCTTTGACTGGAGCTGTCAATACAATTCTTTTGTATTTAACTACAACATAGCTGTGATATATCACAATTTATTGTGATTAATACAGATAAATCAACTTTCCTAAATATGAAAAAAAAACTTGCTTAAACAGAAACATGAATCACAGCAGGCAGATGTATGTTTTACACCTGTTTTTATTCAGGACTGATCCAAATCAATTTAACATCACAGAGTCGGTGAATTTTAGTTCATTACTGTAGGTCGAGGAATACAATGAAAGTTGAGAGACGTGTTGTGACTGTGTATTAGAGCAACAATAAGTGGCTGGACATTCTGCGTATGTGTTAAAAACTTTCATCTCATTCATTTTTACAAATTAATTATTACGATTGACTCATCCCTTTTGACAGCTCCGGGTGAGAATAAATAAGACTAAAATTGCGATAATAAAAAGATTTCCAGAGTGTCTGCACGTAACACGTAACCGGCTTATCCACGTTGGGTACAAAAATCAGCATCAGCCAAAGTCCTGGTTTCTGCACCCAAGGACGGATCCTGGTGGTTTGTCAACTTTTCAAAAGGGGTTTGGTTGCTGGTTGGAGTTTATTTTGACAACTGGGCAACACATTTAACCAGAATCAGCTAGGACTATTGACAAACCTTTACTTTCATAGTTGCTGGGGATTTCAACCTCTGAAAGTCCCCTCCTTGCACCATCAACTTGTGTGCTTTCCTACAAGACAAAAAAAAAACACCCTTGACCAGGTTTACAGCTCTGTGAAGGACGTCTACAAGGCTGTGCCTGCGCCACACGTTGGACAACCACACCATCTCTCAGTCAGACAGCTCCTCAAGCAAGTATGGATTGAAGAGTCAGAGGTTCAGAGCTGAATTTTACAGAACAAACCGGGAAGTGTTGAAGGCTGCTGCGGGGAGAGAGGACTCGACTGTGGACCCCAACAACAAACCTGGGGTCGACTTGGAGTGTGACTTTTGCCACTTCATTTTTCAATTCAAAAGATCAATATATGAACTGCAAAGCTCCATCTTTAGGGTAAAGAGGAATTACAGACTCAAGATTTCTGGAGCAGGGGTCAAAGCCTTACACAGTTCTCACAAAGGAGTCTGCGGGGTCATATGCTGCTCCAACACATGGCCAGATAAGCTTGACGTGTCGTCTGAGATTAACACACGGATTATAACATTTGGAGACAACACCACAGTCAACTGACACTGGAGGACAGTGGTGGTCTGGTGTTAAGACAACAATCCTTTCTTAAAAGCAGAGAAGACCAAGGAGATGATTATTGCTCTTGGAGGAGGGAGCGGCGGCATGTTCCAGTAAACACTGGTGAGACAGGTGGAGAGGGTTAGAACGCCTTTCAAATCCTCGGGACTCAGTGAGGATCTCACCTGGTAACACCCAGAAGTCACTGCAGAGGGTGAGGAAGTTTGGCATGTCAACTTCGAGAGTGGAGACTTGTCATCACCAACGAGCTGCTCCTCTCAGGACGGGAGGGCTCTTCAGTGGGTGATAAAAACTGCCTCTGGGAAAGCTTTCCATTACAACAGGGCATTAACACAACAAGAGTCATCAGTCATCAGACCCCGCAGCATTAAAAAAGCATCTTCACACTTCTGCCAAAGAGGCTCCTCCACATCAGACTCCTGAACTCCCCCCACCCTCCAACCCCCCACCGACTCTCAACCACTGTCCTGTATCTTGAGTTTAGAATCTTGGATCTTGTTTTTGGAGAATCTGATCCAGAAACATTTAGTCCGGTGTTCGAACGTTAGTGAAACTTTGAAAACTGGAGACGTTCGCTGTGTATGTGACACAAACGATGCCAACGCAAACTACGACAACTGATAGTGTTTGGACCGGAAGTCGCCTGTTGTTCTCACTGCTGAGATGAAAACCTTCCTTCAGGCACTATTCTACATACTGATCATGAATATTTTTAGCTGCATTGCAATAAAAGGGAGTGGCGCTGTGCCTTTAAAGTTCTGAAATAAAGCCGTGTCACAGCATGACTCTGGCACTTGGTCACATGTTTATCTCCATTGTTTTCCCAGGAATCAACTCAACTTCATCACAGAGGAGCTGAAGAACCCGTTCAGGTCAGAGCACAACCGTCATTTACATTTTTACTAAATAATCTGTTCAGGTTATTTGGTCGGAGATTATGTCACGATTAAATGGACAGGATATTTTTCTCACTCTTGCATTTCTGATCCTGCACACAGAAACCTGCCGTTGGCCATTATCATTGGAATCCCCCTGGTGGCTGTTTGCTATGTGATGGTCAACGTTGCTTACTTCACTGTCATGACCACCTCTGAGGTTTTGTTGTCTCCAGCTGTGGCCGTGGTAAGTTGTACTCGACAGTGACATTTTATACAGATAAAGGCTGTAATTCCATCTATAATTCCATTAACTGTAGACCTGATCAAACCATTTTCACCTCTTTGGTCTTCAAATGTTGTCATTTCAAAGAAGGCTCAACAGAAGCGTGTTTCACAGGTGTCTCCTGAGCTTTTTTATTTTTCAGCTCTTTATGTTTAACAAATTTGAATCCAGATGAAATTATAAATTTGAACCGAAATTGAATTGAAAAAAAAAAAGCCCTAAAAGAGCTACAAAGAACAGAACTCAATTTCAGTGTCAGATTTCCACAGTTTTCTGATTTGTTCACCTTTGCTGACTCATCTGTAAAATATTTGTGGTCCGTTCATGTCAGACATTTGGAGACAAGGTCTTATATCCCGTGTCCTGGATCGTCCCCCTTTTTGTTGTTTTCTCCACTTTTGGTTCTGCCAATGGATCTTGCTTCACCGCTGGGAGGTAAGAGTTGACATCACACTATTAGTAAAACGTAGCCACTCAGTACAGCAGTCATTATGACCTGTACGACTGTTTGAAATCATCCATTTTCCTACATTTACATCAGTTAAACACAGCCATAAACTGACTATGTTTGTGTCTCTCCACAGAATTTCATATGTATCAGGCAGAGAGGGTCACATGGTGAAAATCTTATCCTACATAAGCAGGAAATACTTTACCCCATCACCCGCCATCATCTTTAACGTAATTCCATTCATGTTTGATTACGTTAACTAATTCATGTTGAAATGTTAGTTTAACCAATATCTACAATTTACCGTCGAAACTAAAGCTCTGTTTGTGTTCTATGTTCTGTGTTCTAGGGGATTTTAGGTATTTTCTACCTCATGCCGGCTGACATTAACAGCCTCATTAACTACTTCAGTTTTGCCCAGTGGATGTTTTATGGTCTGACGTCACTGGGTCTCATCGTGATGAGGTTCACAAGGAAGGACCTCCACCGACCGGTGAAGGTGAGGCTTCCTGAGTACTACGCACAGTACTGCACAAATACTGTCATGTGAAGTCCATTGAATTTACCAAGTTAATATGAAATACAAAATAAAAAAGGTACAGTATAATAAACCTTCTCATTTTTGAAGGTGCCAATCGTCCTACCAGCTCTTGTAGTACTGGTTTCCATCTACTTGGTCTTGGCTCCTATCATTGACAAACCAGAAGTAGAATATCTCTACTGTGCAATATTCATCCTAAGTGGACTTCTCCTCTACTACCCCTTCGTTCACCGCAAGGTCAAATGGGGTCGCACTATCATGAGTGAGTTTAGATTTATAAAAAAAACAAATTGATGATTCCATGATGATGATTCCGCAGCGTCAAAGTGACGATGTCCTAATTCCCCGCAGGACCCATCACTATATATCTCCAGCTGCTGATGGAGGTCGTTCCCCCAGAGAAAAGTGAGTGAAAACGGACAGAAGGAAGGGACGTGTTGCCTTCAATGATGCCTGCTAAATCCTGTTTTATAAAGCACAGAGAACAGTGTCCAGGGCGACAAGTTTACACGGAATGCATTATTATGTTTATTGTCCTTATGTTTGTATATTTTTTTTTTACGGTTTTACTAGAAACATATTGGAGCATATGCCACATTGTACATGTAGTGAATATACAATATAGTTATTTAGAATCACCTGTTTATATAAATGATAGTTCAAGTTGTTTGGCAAAAAAAAGTTTTTCCACATATATTTGACTGCATCATTTCATAAAAAATAGTAAAATAAAAAAAATACCTAGTAATCTCTCATGTGGTGATTCAGAACCATATTCAGTTAACGATCACTAGCAGTTTTAAACAAAGTTTGTTGGTCTTTAGTTCCCTCTAGTGGACATAACAAGCAACAACCTTGGGGTTTTCTTAAATATATATACTGTATATATGTATTCTCCAAGTACCAGTGATTAAAACCATTTTAGCTAAACTGAATAGGAAAATAAATATCAATAAAGATCCAGATAAAATGACACCACTGTAATACAACACAAACATTCTGTCTTATGAATGCTCCCAAATTTGTGTTTTTTTTCCTTCAAATTAGACCATTTACCTTCCATTTCATCATCCTAATAATATCCAACAGTTTCTGGGAAATGAGAACAGAATATTTGTCATTTTGTTTTTTTGGGGATGGAAAAGTAAACCCACTGTGAGTTTTGTTATCTGCTGTTGATTTTTTCTATCCACGTGAGAAAACAACTCTTCAAATGTGAAATTTATATTTTTTATTTCCTGGATTTTATATGGACCACGTTTAAAAACATTGTTTTTAACAGCACACTCAAATCTGCGTTTATAGCACCACTAGCGGCGAAGGAAGGTAACGCAATGTGAACTAAATTTTCACAAAAACGCCATCAAACACAAAGTTTTTTATTTCCTTATATACCTAAGAGACCGTAACGTATTTAAGGCTATATATAAATATTTAATGAAGGTACTGTATTATAAATATCTCTGAATTGCCATAGACAAAAGGAATATTAGAGTATATCCATCCATACATTAATTATCTTCCAATTAATCCTTTCAAGGGTCACAGGGGTCGGGGTGGGGGCGAGTCAGGAGGTGGGTACACCCTGGCAGATAATAAAGTACATGTACTTTGACATATATTTAAATATTATTAGATCACATAATCACTTTAGTAAAGTTTACATCTGGTAAACTGGCTCTTGGTCTGGTCTCTACTCATAAAACTACTCTTATGTAACACAATATAATGAGTGGGGTTTTTTCTAAGGGAGAAACCCCATGTATTCTGTTAACGTTGTAGTCAGACTTTGATTGATCAGGAGAGGATTGATTGAATTCTTAATTTTCTTCTTAATGAATATATATGTTCTGCCTGTCTCTGAGAGAGAGAGAGAGAGAGAGAGAAACAGCAGAATCTTCTCATTAATGGACAGACAGGTCTGATGAGAACTCATTTACATATCATTTTAATCAGTAACTTTAATCAGTTCCTGGAGAAGCGTTTGTTTTAGAACCCTGCAATCATCCAGCGACTGTATTTTAATGTACCAGGAAAAACCATCTGCCTGTGGAGTTTATGACAGTTATGAATGTATCAGGATGGTATACTTCCACAAAACGGTAAGAAATTATTTTTTTTCCAAAAGGTAAATACAGTAGATTACTGTATACTGATAAAAATTCTATCATTTGAAATCTCAGAAAAAGAAAACTAAATGTTTGTTACAAACACATATCAAAACGGCTCATTTTGTTTCCCTCCACTGGAGGGCACCCTTGAACAAGGATTAGTTGTCTGGTGGACCAGTGCTTTTCCATGTACAATACCGTCATCTTTTATAAAACGATCAAACACAGTTCCCAGGATTCTCTAGAATAACTATTGAAACTACGTACCTCACACACGGCTGCTTTAATCTGAACACAGACACACACACACACACACACACACACACACACCCAGAAGACAGAAATACATTTCACTGTTTGCCTTGTGTTTCAACCAGAGCTCCAGAGCTGATCCCAGACCAGCAACAGCTGCTGCTGCTGGTAGTGTTAACCACCCTTCCGTTTACCACCCAATGGTTGGTTGATGACAAGTGCTTCAGCCTTCTCACTGTCTTCCCTCCCCCTCCCCTCCCCCAGCCCTCCCACCCTCTGCCACAATACTCTCCCTTTTCCTTCTTCTTTCTTACTCATGTGAAGATTTCCTGTTTACGTCCTCATGTCTCCTTGTCCTACACTGCTGTCTTTGTCTGCAGCGTTGATGCCGTAGATCAGCGGCTGATGCCCTTTTTTAACTCCCTTGTTTGTAAAACCACATCTTATAAACCTCTAACCACAGTATGAGGTCAAGTTGGGTAGAAAATATTCCATGATTGTTGAAGTTGATGTGTTTGATACTCATTGCCTGTACTGACAATGTGTCCTACAGTGAGTCCCAAACTTCTTGGGGTGTGGGTTCGAATCCGTCTTCTGACAATAACGTTTTGTAAATGTCCCCACTGTGGGACGAATAAGAGACTCAATTATTATTATTAACTATTTTCTGCATCATCCTCACCATTTGTAGACAGGACTATTGACGATGACACATTTACAGCTAATGCTACAAAACTGAACTTTATTTAAAAACACTTTAATACAATCACAAATCTGTCAAATATTTCCACTGTGGCACAAATATATATATATATATATATATAAATGAATTAATTTGTTAACCTGTAGCTCCTCGCCTGCAATGATTTCGTGCCCCCTAATGGGTGTCCGCCCCCCACTTTGGGAACCATTGCTGTCAGAGATCATGAGCAGGTCTTTCCTCCTGGTTGTGTTGCCCTGCGTGTTCCATTCACACACACACCAGTTTCTGTATTTTCTGGTTGGTTAGCGACTCTTTGATCAGCAGGCTGCCTTACCGCCTGGTGCACGGGTGACTTCACAACACCGGCTGCTCACTCTAGGAGGCTGCATCACTGAAGTGTGTCTATATGTGCGTGTGAGTAAAAAGCATGAAGGGTGATGATGACGAAGAGATAGATGTGCACAGGCAGACGCAGGTTTAAAAAAAAGAAAAAAGTTTAAGAGAGAATACTTAGTATCGGAGGGGGCGTTTCTGCCTTAAAGAAAACAAAGTTCTTTTACTGCCTTGCTGGAAGGTTCTTGTCTGATGTTTCTCCTCCCTGTATATACATCTAAACATCGCCTTTAGCCACTGCTGCTTCACAGCTCGGGATCGCTCAGCTTCTTGTCAAAGACAGTTTTCCTCACCTGTCAGGGAGTATTTCTACAGCAAAAAAAAAAAAAAAATGCAACACTGAAAAAAAAAAAAAAAAAAAGACTTCTTCGCTGCAATCAAATTTCTGACTTTAGTCAATATTACATTAGAATGCAGTGCGTTGCAAAGCATGCAAATGCGAATTATTTTGGCTCAAATCACCAAGTAAATGAATATTGAACTTAAAATAAATGGGAGAGCTGGGCATCGTCCTGTCGTTTAATTCACGACTAAATCCATAAATTTAAAACTGACCTAACTATTAACAAACCAACCAACCAACCAACCAAACAACCGACTAACCATCCCTTCCATCTATGAAATGAAAAAACCGACTAACCATCCCTTCCATCTATTAAATGAATAAAAGGACATTTACAACAGACTCTGTTGTAGGTCACAGCCAAACTATGAAACCAATAACATCAACAATATTGCTATATATAAATATATATATAGACATATATATATATATATATATATATATATATATATATATTCCACCGTTGCTGACATATCAACCAATTACATGATATTTGACACATTGTTGACACCTCAGCCTCTTTGATGTGGGCTGTGGGAATATAGATTTGGTAACAGCCCCGTGGCAGAGAATTTTCTGAAGAACCAGCCTTCAACATACACTTTATACAGAAAAAAAAAAAACATCTCTGCATCTAAACACGGTAGTAAAGCTGTCGCTCCGTGTGAGGAGTAAAGCCTGTGAAATACATCCTCATCCTCTTATCCCTCAGTGAATAAGTGCGAGGTCAAGAGACCGTTACATGGACCTGCTACCAAACACAGGATGCAACATACATATCAAAGATGCTGCACGTGAGCGGAGAACCAGCAGTCAGCATATTATTACACTATTCCTGGTATCTTTAGTGAGCTAAATTCACTAACCCGTGTTTGATCCAGTGACTAATTAATTCCTTAAGTTCTTCTGTTTATTGCAGAGGGTGGAGGGTATCAGTATGTAAGGGAAGGGGATCTGTCTTTGAAGTGCTCTCTTAAATCTCAGGAGGGAGACCGAGCCTAAGGCTGGACTCAGGATGTGGGAAGAGAAGCAACAACCGCTTTTACCACTGCGGGGCCAAGACTATGGCTCACCGTGGTCATGTTTACTACATTTATTAATAATCCTTTTTCCTTTTAATATGAGGTCCCAACAGAAAAAAATGTTTATAAGGGCAAAAAAAAAAAAAAAAACCCCAAAAAAAAACACGAGCTCCAGGGAAATCGAGGCGTTTCCTGCGATCCTCGACGGTGCAACCCTCCCTGAGCCTAACTAATGAACTAACAGCGATGTATCTTCATTCCACCCAGCACCTACTCGTCCTTCCCTGCAGACAGAAGCCACTTCTTGGCAGCTCTTGCTAAGGGAAATCCAAGCCTCCTAGCTCTGAAGTGAAGTGCTGCACTTTTGTGAAAGTCGTTTTAAGGTGAAAAACAAAATTCACTGATGCTATTTTCGTTGGTGTAGACAGTACCGTCAATATTTGTGAGCATGAAACAACCTCATTCCCGAGCTGCACGCAAGACAGCCAAGGCTGTAGACATCTGTCATAAAAAGTGTATTATTTGGGGGGGGGAGACGGGATTCTGAACAAAGTACGTACACATTTTTAAAACAAAACATTAATAATAACCCAGGATTACTCATTATTTGGGTTAGGTTTGTAGCTAAACAAAATAATTTTGCATCAAGTTTGATTTTGTTTTTGTTGCTGTTGTTTAACTTCCACAATTCAAATCTGTGTTTATATATGGATAATGATGTCGTTTATCTGAACTGCCTTCTGAGGCTTTGGCAGCCTTCCATAAATATACACTGGGGGAGAGTCTTTGTTTCCTCCTTCAGCACACAACACATTATTGGTCGCCAAACACACACACACACACACATTAGAAGAATGGAAAAGGAAAAAAAAATGCTGAGGAGTTGACTCTGGTCAACCTGTATTAACTGTATGTGTGACATTTGTAGGGATGTGCTCTATCACTGACACGTCAAAAAAGCTTATTTGTTGTCAGGGACGTGTAAATGTAGGAAAGGAACAGCTTTATCCTTGGCCTAATGACAGAGAAGAAAGAAGCTGTTTAAAATGAAATGTTTTTGAAAATAAGTCAGAAGAAGAATCACATTGACAGTTTCAGATGTGACCTGACCGTGAAGTCATGTTGAATAAGTAATAAGTCAAAATAGGCCGTAGTAGTGAGTCATACTGTGTGTATTTCTTTCTTTCTTTCTTTCTTGTCAGTCAGTGGAGTTCTTTGTGATGGGATTTCTATATGAAGCTCTGGTCAAACAGTTTGACGCAGATCCAGAATATCTAAATACATCTACATATGTCAGTAGGCTTTTAAGGTGCAGTCTGCCAAGTTCTTCTGGCATGTGCTGTCATTTTTTAACACAGTGGGAACAAAGCCAGGGACGAAACCAAGTCCTCTTATCACTCTGAGACACTTGGAATGTACAGTAATGAAAGGATTGTTATAAAACTATTTGTTGAATCTTTGACTTCAGATGCTGATGATGAGATTATAGTTAGTTATATTTGATGCCCTACAAGTTTGTCTGTGTAGAATTTCACACATATTGTTTTTATTATAATATATACAGTTTGTTTCCCAGAGCTACTTACTTACTTAAAATTCCTCCTTTTATATTCCAGTGTTAATTCAGCTGAGAAGAATTTGTCATTTCTTTGTTGTCTTTGTCTTCGTCCTCTGTAAACATAGTTTCTCAAGTTTCTCTTCTGGTCATCAGTTTTGGTTGCCTGGTGTTTTTTTTTTTTTGGCAGAATGTTGTTAAAAATGTGAAAAGGAAGCAACAAGTCGTACCCCAGTTTACTGGGCCATTTTAATGTTGTTCCACTTAAAAGAACATCTGTGTTTTAATCGCTGTGTCACACATGTCTGTGATTTACACTGGAAACATCAGCACGGCCACAGGGGTGTTTCAATGTTTTATGTATTATTCAAAAATACTACAATGTGTGTGTGTGTGTGTAGCACAGACCTGTTCATTATTAACCACACATGTGAAAGAGTTGTGATTAATAACCAACAGGTCTCCTACAGTAGGTGTGATCATACCATCAGTTATCACAGACCACTAGGTGAAAAGTGAAACATTGTGTGACACTGATGTATTGTGGGTGGTGTGTCCTTGTGCCGTCTGCAATGTGACAACAACAAAATGTTTGTTCTTGGCATCAGTTTCTATTTTTGTTTCTCAAGGCTGCCACAAATAAAATAGTTTCAGAGGAAAAAAAATGAACCTGAACATGAACAAAGAAAAGTGCTTATTTAATGTGATAAAAAAAACACCACTACAACTTTGAGCAGGAGCCACTGGGTCACATACTTTTTTATTTCATTTAAACCACACTTGTTGAAAAAAAAATTAAAGTAATTCTTCTTTGGTGTTGACTTTGTGGAACTTGTGGACCAACGTAAACACACTTTATTTCTCTCTTCATCGTTGATTTGCTACTGTACTACATTAAATGCTATAGTCGTACCTGTAATTGTTAACATGCTACACTTAACTAAACGGCAAATACATTTTCATCTTTTTTTAATTGTTTATTTTATTCTTGTTTAAGATATACTCGGGTCTGTCACTAGTTATAATGCCAAATTAGAAATATTTAAATTACGGAATAAAGGTTTGTATAATAATATATAATTTTTACAGACTGCCCTGTTCTCCACCCATTATAGTAACTATCTATAGCTACGCCCCTGTTGGCGTGAACCACATCCCACTGAGGGCTCTTTAGTTGTAGCTTGGCGTGGATCGTACCATGTCAATTCAAGCGCATATTTGTCCCAAAACTGTTATTTAAAAACGTACCACGCAGTCGACGTCGTAACATCCCTGTATCACAGAAGCACAATGATTGTATTCACCATTTCCCACCATTATATGTTCATAAAAAACACATTAATAGTGTTTCTCGGTGCCGTCTTTGGTAAACTCCCCCCCTTTCTACGGGAGTGGTTTATCCCTCTCTTCAGCTGATCGGCCCAGAGGATTCCCCGGTGGCTCCGTCCGTCTGAGGCTCTGATGGCTCCGCTGTCCTAATGTCGATTTAAACTATTTTCATTTGACGGAGTCTGAGCCGGTCGTGTCGGCAGACCAGTTCATCCGCCCTGTAACATTAATAAAGGATAATCTAACTTGGGTATCAACACATTGGTCCACACAGCCAGGGGATCTATAGGTAAAGACGAGGCCTTCGCTCCATCCGCGGATTCACCTGCTTCGAGGAGAGTTTCACGCCGAGGACAGACATGGGGGACACGGGGAGCGAGGGCAGCAAGCCTCCGAGTAACGTTAACGTTATACCGCCTCGCTGCCCCTGCGGATTCTGGGGGTAAGGCCGAGTATTCTCGTTTTTGAGTGGCGTCTTTCTCTCTCTTTCGCGAAAGCTAGCGCAGCCGCTAGCATCTGCTGTTAGCAGCTCAAAGAAGGATGAGCTGCTTTTCTTGTTATCCCCCTCCCCATTGTTTTGTAGCATTAGCCACCCGCTAACACCAGCCGGCCTAAGGAAGTCTTTCCCTTCCTGTGGAGGAAGGGAGCAAGGCGCTAATGTGACAGGTGTGACAACATTGCCGAACAACGCACAGTTAAAGGCAACTTTATGAAATGAAGCAGCTGGGTCGACACACTGAGCGGCGGTGTCCGTCCAAGTGTCAGGTGGACACCAGGGGGAAACCCCGCAGTGTCTGGTCTTGACATAACTCAGCACTGGTAACACCAGTTAAACCGTCAATATTATACATTGTTGTGTTTAAGCAGCAGTATTTGACACCAAACTTATGTCAATTGTACTGGTAAACACAATGACGTGCAGGAATTTCATAGTTTATATATGTTTTATTTCATATTTTTAGTCATACATTTTTTTTTTCAAACTGGTGGGTCACACCTTACAGTGAGAACATAACGAGACTTGACATGATCTCTCCACGGGACTTGAGTTTCCTCCCACAGTCCAAAACATGGTTAATCAGACACGCTGCACTGACCAGAGGAATGAATGTGAGTGTGGATATTTTAGTTTCTGTACTGGGCTCTGTAATGGAATCAATGGGTGTTTCTCCACTTTAATCCATTGAATGAGTACATGAAACCAAACTCTGTTTCGAAGTGTTGATGTGTTTGTCACGACAACTTGCAACATCATTTCTTGGTTTGTAGATTCCAGTGTTTTTTGACCATTGGATGGTGGAAACTACGTTTTCAAGTAGCCCCGCTAACAGAGCAACCACACCAGGGTTGGGTCCAACTAAACTGAACATGACAAATGGTGTGTAAACACACCCTTCAATACAAGAAAGATTAAACCTGATTCACTGCAAGGATTTGCTATCACAAAAGTGACATTGTTTAGTCCTTACTCTAGTAAGGAGTGGTTGCTGCAAATCAACTTTTAGACTTGACTTTTTTTTTTTTTCATTCCACAGTGTGTGTAATGTGGAATGTTTGTTTTGGTCTCAGTTAGATGAGTCTACATGAGTCTGTACAGGCCCCCCCTCAAGGCTGCTCACTGTTGCCTCACCAGGACTTGTCTCACCAGTTGACGACTGCCCTGTTGTATCCCAGCTGTGTTTGCCTTTTTTTTTTTTTTAAATCAGAGCTTTCAGTTCAGTGGTTCATATATGACAATACATTTAGTTAGTAGGCTTGAATCTGAGTCCTGAGTGATCAGATTGTTGTGTTTGTAACCACAGTTAATAGACTTTGAGAACGGACATTTCCAAAAGTTGAATCTCTAGTAGTAGACTTATGAATCTGAGTCCTGAGTGATCAGATTGAATCTCTAGTAGTAGACTTTAAGGTCTAGGTCTAAGGTTTGTGACTCTGGTGGCTCGTCGGATGCCAACACCCTCTGCATTTTGGGCGATCACAACTGTCTTAGTGCACTGTCTCTCTTATGACAAAAACAGTATTTAAATGCTGAGAACCATATATTTTCTTTTTATCCTCAATTATCCAACAAACGTGTTAATCCACTGTAGGCTTTTATTCCTGCCGTGTCTCATGATGCCACGTCCCCCGTGACTCCCCCTCTCACCCTTTACTTCTTCGTTCTTCTTTCTACCTGTGTGCCATACAGCAGCACTCTGACAGACAGCCCTCAGGTTGACTGCCCCTGACCCAACATTTAGAAATGAGGACAAAGGAGTGCAATGAAGCACCCGAAAATAAATAGAATGTGACTGATAGCAGTGACCGTCACGGTCGGTGCCCAGCCAGTTAGGACGAGGGCTGGAGAGGAAATGAGAGGAGGCCTCTCAAAGGGAACCAGACCTGTGTGCTGTGAGGAGTTGTGCCACTGAAATGACAACATGGACTGAAGATTGTAGAAAAAGATCATTAATATTATTTTTGCATAATGAAGTTTTTTGGCAATTACAGCTCATGCACTTGCTTTTCTTTTTCCTTGTTTTTGAGAAATTAAATGTGCTTCAGTGACGCAGACTTCGTCCTCTGATCCTACAAGCATTGATTGGTTTAATTGTCGACAGTGAGATTCACAAAATGAGCCCCAATTATGTGTCTTCTCAGTTAAATGGCACAGTGGAAAGATTAGGTTTTTACCGCGCACAGTCAATTTTGTTGAAACCAATTTAAACAACAGTGTTTGTGTGTTAATATGTTTATTGAAACAAAAAGCTAACGCTTTCTAGACGACCTTGGCGATGAGTCAGTTTGATGTGTTGTTACATTAATGTAGATTATTTTGAAGATTTCTTGCTGAAAAAAAATAATGAGTAGGTGAAAACACTGTCAGAGTTCTGAAAAAATACACGTCTTTTTTTGGTTGTTTTCAAATGTTGGCGTTCTCTGTGTTTGATATTAATGATGCAACGGAGTAAAAGATAAACAAGGCATCCACTGCATCACTGACATTACTGTAACGCTGTTGTTGTTCCTGTGATGTCAACAATCATGCAGCCTGACACACGGTTGACACTACACATACAGTTGCCTGCAGCGATGGAATGGTGTCGATCCAGTTTCCCTCTCAGGCTCAGTCTCATGTAAACATTCTTGGAGACGTAGGTTTCTGTGAAGGGGTTTACTTCTATTGTATTGTGCTGAAAAGTAACCCTATAAGATGCACTTATAATTAGTATTAAAATGAATATGCAATTGAATGAACAACAGTGAACAGTTCCATAACACGTGTTCACTAAGTTATTTATTATGTGAGACGGTGACTCACACTGCGTGAATGTGAATGAGGAAACATGAAATTATGTGTGATTTTTTAAAATTAATTTTGCATTTTTCTTTGTCTTTCTTTCTCCTCAGGTCAAGCAAGACTATGAATCTTTGCTCCAAATGTTTTGCAGGTACGTTTTCATCCTACTTTGTTTATATGACTGATTTTCTGTTACTTGTCACTGTGTATAATCTGGTTGCAGAGTTAAGTTTGTTAGAATTTTCTTGATATTCAAAATACAGTTAAATCCATAATTTATTTCTATACAAAAATTATTCCATTTTTAGTGCATGCCCTTATAAACTCTTTCTGTGACCACACTCAGAACACCAATTTTCTTTTTTTTTTCTTCATGTCTCTTGGTAATCTTTGTCATTAGGAAAAAGCATAAATAAGAAAATCAATTATATCAGTTTACATAAAGGTCAAATACTGTATTTTTTTTAATTAAATCAGCTCATGTTCTGGTGCTTGCTTTTAAATAGAGCATATTTCCATGCCAAACCCTAGAGCGAATTCCTGTACAGTATGCCCCGACTTGGCAGCGAGGCCGATTTGATTCAAAAGTCCTACCATTTCCCTTCTGTCACAGACATTCAGAAGAAGCAGCCAGACAGTGATTGTGCCCCAAAGGCCACGTCGAGCTCTGGCAGCAGCCAAGCAGACATCTTCTGTAACAACGCAACTAGCAGCATTAGTCAGTCACTGATACCGACGCCTGACACATCAGAAGACCCACCACCGGGAGACGTGGGATCTACATCTCTACCTGCTCAGGATGGTAAGACAAGTGGGAGAAAATAGTCCAAAAGGTTTTTCTTTCAGCTCGGAGTGTCAGGCAAAGTGTCGGCTGTATGAAATGTGCCATTGTTCAGGAAACACACACATATATATAAAGAACAAACAACTCACTACAATAAAGTGTATTTGTCTGTATATTTGTGTTTATCTATTCTAAAATCTAAGTAAGGTGAACTCTGTGTAGTTATGGTCATAAATATATAATTGTATCACAGTCTGATCGTCTGGTGGACCGTCTGCAGCTGGTTGTCACTGGTGTCTGCACAGCTCCTGTTCTGGCTAAATCTGTCCTCATGGCACAGAAAGTGAAAATGATAGGAGAGAGTATCCATTCAAAAGTGAAGGTTTTAAAAGGACACCTACAACTAGCAGGGCATCAGTCATCACTGTACAGCGACAAGGTTATTTGTGCAGCCCCCAATGCAGGACAGGACAATAAAGTAGATACCAAATGGATAAAAAAGTTCTTCACACTGACTTATTTCTTTTTGACTACACAGGATCTTTCAGTACAATAAAAAAGTCGTCTAAAGATAAATAAATCAAAATGTTGACATTTAAATTTCAATTTTGTTTCAGTGCACTGACAGACTGCTTTTTTTTATTTAATTTTTTTTATTTTTGGATTCACCAATACCACCATGTTTAATTTGTGACTGGATGCAAATTGTACTGTGGAGTAGAACAGTGGTCAGAAGGTTCTGAGTTCGATTCCACCTAGTCCCCAAACCCAGGTTTGAAAGTAATCACTTATTATTCTTCTACCGTGTATTAATATCAAAGCCCTGTTTTTGATAATGAATCGTTTTGGATCATGAATCTATGAAAATAACAATCCAGGCTTATTTTGTTTATTTTTTATTTTTTGTAGTGTTTTGAAAAAACAGAAAATAACAATCCAGGCTTATTTTGTTTAATTTTTTTTGTAGTGTTTTGAAAAAACAGGGTACAGTGGTTCTCAAACTTTTGTAAATAGGATTATTGTTTGGCCCCTCCCACTCTCACCCACCTCAACACACTCACATCTGTTGCTTCAGAACTCCACTACAGTAATCTTTATTTACAACACTATCATTCCTGAAACTGGAGCAAAAAAATAAAAGAAGATATTAGTTTAATTTCCTCACTTTGACAAAAAAAAAAACAGTATTGGATTTCTTAAAAGTAATTGTACAAAATTGCTTTTACACCAATTTCTTAACACTCATCTCTCATCTAAAAGGACCGTTTTAAAGTCAGACATCCTCCAATGCACAAAACACAAAGGCTGTTCTTAGCAGAGAAATCCAGGAGGACGTTTTTGGCACAGATAGTTTCAAAGTTAACTTCAGTCTGTGGGCATTAAAGCCATGAAACATGTGAGTTTTAGAGGCAATGTCGACTGATATTAGTGTGAATTAATGTCAGTTATTTAAAGATTTTGACCAAAGCTTTTTTTTTGACCTCTTTATTTTTTCCATGTCAGTTCCAGAGATAATCCAACGAAGGTTTAACATCTTCATGTCTTTTCTCTGTTCCTCTGTAGAATCCAGCACAGACACAGTCTTTGGGTCACTCTCCACTCCCACAAAACGCTCCTGTGACTCAGGTAAATCTCAGCTCCGTCACTGCTTTGTTGTGTGTTCACACTAAATGCCACTCTGACAATGTACAGAACAGAACAGGGAGAAAAAAAAAACATTAACAGATTGATTTTTCTCTCCTTAATTACTATAAATAAATTGAACTTTTAATAACTAAAATCTAGATTCATTATTAGAAGACAAGCTGACCAGGAACAAAGACGTTTCTTCTCCGTTCTCTCACATGGTTTCACCTTGTTAAGTGACACAGTGTGCTACACACACACACACACACACACCACACACCACACATGTGGCTTTAATGCAGTGTCGGCGAATCGAGGCTACGCTGTATGAACATGTTGATCCCTTGTCTAATGCAGAGGGATCATGTGAGCACCATACCGTACATGCACAAGCAGCATCATTTCTGTCTTTTTTTTTTTTGACGGCTCAGTTGATGTTTCACTTTCCACTTCCTCCAAATCTGTTCAGATTTGACTTAACATAACCATTCAGGTCAACCTTATTTATTAATATTTCTTCAGCTGAACTATATTTAGATTCTAGTACAAAGATGTTACTTCTATATTTTTTAAGGTTTATCCATTTTCCCTGTTTGTTGAGTCACTTAAACCTGACCTGTGGTAATTGGCTCCAGTGGTTTACCTCCAGAACAAAACCAGGGGAACAGGGAGCCAATTTTTTTTTTTTTCCTCCAACATGCACTTGCACATGTATGGTCACACTCACACACAGGAATAGAGATCGATGGTGCCGGCCACGGGGATCTGGCTGCCTCAGCTCGGCCTAGTTCTCAGAGATTTATTGAGCACTGATCTGCATTTGGCCCGGCCAGGGAAAAAGTCTACAGGATTGATGAGAAAGCCGAGTTGAAATTCCAGCCGACCACTGGAAATCTGCAACATGCTCTTCCTCCACCTCAGCTGCCAGCGTGAATTTAATCAAATGCAAAAGAGCCATTAATCAGCGAAGCACTTTTTTATTTCACACAAATGTGTTTTTGTCCTGCTGTACCGTCATCTGTCCTCTCCCAGTTTCCGACCCCAGTAAATCACAGATGATGACTTTGTGAATTTAAACGCAGGTTTCTTATGCGTGACTTTTATTTGAGGCGATGTCTGATGTATTTCACTAAAATCTGCAATCAGGACATGCAGAAGATGAATTTTGTTTGAATGAATGTGTGGCCACTTAAAAATCTTTTTTTTTTAAAGTGTTTGACGTATAATAATATGTAACATCAGTTACCTTCCCATACTTATCTAATTAAAACAATACCATTGATCTCCTAATAAATCCGTGAAAAGAAAAGATATTGTGGCACCTAATTGCTATGTATAACAATTTGCATAATAATCTCCACATGATTTCTTTTGATAGAAAACAATCTTTGTTCTAATAATTCTGATTTTGTCCTTTTTTTCTCTCCAGCCTCAGAGTCGGAAAGTGATGTCTCACCGGAGAAACGAACACGGCTGGGTGTGGTGCCACACATTCTTGAGTGCTCCTCCTCCTCTTCATCATCATCATCATCATCTTCTTTGTCTGCAACATCATCCTCATCCTCGTCTCGTGGCGGCTCAAAACAGCGGAACCGCAAGCGCTGCCATCGCTGCCAAACCAAACTGGAACTGGTGCAGCAGGAGCTGGGTTCCTGTCGCTGCGGTACGATGACACAACACTGTACACACACACACACACACACACAACACACTGTTTCATCAGCGCTGTAGGCTTTCTTTGGAGTTTGGATGTTGTCCCAAAGAGCCATCTTTTCTCAAATCAGACAGGAAATGGAACCAAATAAATCCCAGTCTTTGTTGCGAGGCCTTTATTTTTAGAGCACGTACAGATTGTCCGTACGCCACATTAGCTGCAGCAGACCAACAGTAAGGTACTTCGATTACACGCTGATAGCGTACACACAGTGTGGAAAAAAAAAAATCTCAGTTGTGGATCTGGAAACGACTTTGGAGGTAATTAATTATGATTTGTTTTCTTAGAATTTTCTATTTGTTTGTGTTCACGTCCTACATGTCATGGTGTTGACAGAAACATCAATGACCTCCGTGCCTCAGCTGCGGCCTGAGAGAACCATTACACAAGGCCTGAACAGTTATTCCTGCACATAAAACATAAACCAATTACCACAAACACTGATGCAGTTTAAACCAATACTTGGTTTGCTAATCAACTTGTTTGCATACAAATTAAAGTGCTTAAAAAAGTCACAGCCCTTCACTGCTTAAAGACCATCAGCTTCAAACTGCACGCTAATTTCTAAATTGGAAAATGACTTGCCTTTTTTTTTTTTTTTTTTCCCCTTCCCAGCAGGCACTGCTTTAAAGCACAGGCCATCCATCCTTAATAGCCCAGCGCTTACTATGAAAACATGCTTTTTAGACTGAAGGGGAAATGGGGGCAATTACAGTGATTTCTGCCTGTTGCAGTAATTGCAGATTACTGAGCTAATGGTTGTGTAGAATGTAAACCTAGAAGGTCTGATAACGAGTTGATCGCACAAACAATTTTCCCACTGTGAAATGAGGAAGAAAATGATAGCGCCGCGGCAGTATCTGATTCCAGAGTTCTCCTCTGACGTTCATCTCACGAGGTGTAACTCCAACATTGACTCAATCTTTATTTTGATTTTTTTATTTGTCTAAGTCAAGCAGCCTTTTACAGACTGAAGATGGAACATGTTAGTTTTGCTAAATCAGGACTTTACTTAAATGTGTGTTTACTTATCATAAATTACCTTAATGTAACCTCGGCTAAACGTTCTTTTCCATAAGCAAGCAGTTTTTATGTCTGTTGAAAGCCTCTGCGCTCCATGTCGATATTTATTATGAAAGCAGACGTTGACCTTGGTGTAGAAACAATTTTTAGTTGTTTGTCCGTGCATGTTAGATGTAGCCATTAGGCGTCAGGTGATCTGCTCGTCCAGGTTTCACGGAGAATAATTAATCTGTTGATGACAGTTCGGTTTAACAGAAGATGTTTCTGCATCTCAACCCTGGAAGCCTGGAAAAATACTTCAGTAAAGAAAGATTCCTGATTTGAGAGTATGTTGAAAAATAAAAATAAAAAAAATATATAGGGAATATTTTTGAAAATATATTTTTATATATGTTTCTATAATAATTATGCTCTAGGCAACTGCCTGCGTTGCCCAATTCAGGTATATATGTGTGAGTGTTGTGTGTGCATGCATGCCTGTAGGTCCATATATATATATTTACATATATATTTACATATATATTTACACATATATTTACATATATACACATATGTTTACATATATATTTACATTCATATATATATATATACATTCACATATATATGTATATATATTAGACTCAAACTTACCCAGCTTTTTTGGCTCACTCCCATTGTGTGCACTATAATCACAGCGGTTTAAATTGCGTGGCTACTGCAAGCTGTCCATCTGAGCCCTTCATCTCCAAACGTTGAAAAGCCAGTGGTGTTATTATGTATATTAACGAAGGAAATTAATCCAGAAGCTGAAATGTGCCTCCAGCGGTGATGGAGCCTTCTGTTAGGGGGTTCAAGTCACGCCTCAGTTATGCTTGATGGAGTCAAAGGAACAGTCTGTGCCGTTAATGTGCAGCTACCTTGACGGAGTCAAAGGAACAGTCTGTGTCGTTAATGTATGCATTCCTACCTTCCTGTTTTCTTTGCATTGGCTAAACCCAAAAAATATGCTAACGTGAAATAGCTGCAACACAAACAGTTGATCCTCCAGGGCTGTTACCGTTGTTTCTGTTTCTGTTTGAAATGTTATGGTTAGGTGAAGAGTTAGCGTGGCTCATCGAACAAGGTCACCGTTCTATTGGACGACCGCAGTCTCGCAGCAACAGTTCCCGCACTAACCTCGCATCTCCCTCCGTAGGAGGACGCGGACCTGTCGAACTGACTATTGTGTCTTTCTCTCTTGTCCACGCCCCTCCCTAATCTTGCAGGTTATATCTTCTGTATGCTCCATCGGCTCCCTGAGCAACACGACTGTATGTTTGACCACCTGGGCCGCGGCCGCCAGGAGGCTGTTCTAAAGATGGTTAAACTTGACCGTAAGGTGGGCCGCTCGTGCCAACGCATCGGGGAGGAGTGCTCCTGAAAAAAATCTCAGTGAACAGATGGTGTCTTAGCACTTACAGGGATTTTTTTTGGCTCGCCCTTTTTTTTTTTTCAATATTTCTGCAGTTTTCCTGGTAACAGACACACGTTGTTTTCTTTAAACATTTTTTCTTTGTCCCACTTCTTCCCATGGTAAATTTGACCCATGTTTGGCTTGAGTTGTGTCCCGTTTGCTGAGATGCCTTTTGGAAATAACCCACACACAGGAACAAAAAAAAAAGAAGAAAAAAAAAGCAATTTGAGCAACGTAAGAGACATTGTTGACAATTCGCAAGCTCCTCACTTCACAAATGTCTTTTGTCGTGAGAAGGAATGAAAGGACAAAGAGATGCAACTTTTTGCCCTGGACACAGACTATACTCTTTACCTCAAAAAAAAAAAAAAAAAAAGATAACAGCAACATAAGATGAGGACGTGTGTCGGATGAATACTCCTTATGTACACTTTTGCTTCGGCGCTGTTTATAGACTATTCTTTACCTCAAAGTCAGTCAGAGCTGCTTTCCACTCTGCACCAAGCATGGACCTTGGGAAGCGAACCATGTTCTCCAGCCTCAGTGAAGTCTGTGTCTTACCCCCTGGATGTCCTCAGAACAGCTTCATCCACCTCAGGATATCACAGCCCACTCCCCTTCTCTCCTTTTTCACCTGTTGCCCCCCCCCCCCCCACCCGCTCCGTTCCGTTGTTGAAGGTTTGCTGTGAACTTGTTTCTGCCAGCATTGGACGATGAAGCTGGAGTCGATGGCTGTAGACTGACACGCAGAATATTTGAGTGCGATCTTCCAGCTTCCAAACTCAAAACCAATCGTGGGGTTTGGAAGTCGGAGCTCTCGGACGGCACGCTGAGCTCTCCAACGTCTGAATGTGTTCAATCAAAAACCTAATTTGTCAAGGATTTTCTCCGTCTTCCTCTTAGTTCCGACCTTAATCTTCCCGGTTATCCCTGCAGTGACATTTTCTCTTCACAGCCATACTCTGGACACACGTGAATTATCTGGGGGACTAGTGTGCTCATGGTCAATCACTGGACCTGAATATTGTTTTGTTTTTTTTGTTGTTTTTTTGGCGTTGTACACGTCGGTAAAACATCTGTTCACAGCTGTCGTCCACTTTGAGCACAAACAGCCAGAGTCGGAGGCCGACGTCCGCTGTGGTCCTGGACTGATCACCCAGTGTGTCTCAGCGCTTCATTACTTTAATCCACTCTGTTTAAGGTAATTCTTCCAACAGATTTGAAACAGGACTTTCTATTATTTTGAGCTTCATTTTTCTTCCTTCTACTTAATGCTCCGATTTCCTTCCAAAAGCCCGGACTTTAATTTCCGGCTAGTACAGTGAGCTCTCATGCATCCGCCTCCTGCCTTTGACTTTCCTTTTCTCATTTTTCCTCCTATTGATTGCTGCGCTTCCCCTTCATCCAGCTTCTCTGACTCACTACAGTGATATTTACTCATTTTCTTTTCTTTTTTTTTTGCTGAGAATGGCGAACGAGATGAGCAGAGTTCAAGTCATTAAATTAATTACTTTTGAGAGTTTCTTGGTGGACTGTGGAAGAAATGCACACAGATACTTTGTGAGAAAAATTGTATTTAACCCTTTATTTCTTTCATATTTAGTTACACTTTAGTGTAGAGCTGCATTTTTTTGGTTGTGATGTCATTAAATGGGAGGACGGACACGGACAGTTCTGTCATTTTGCTTTCTATTGTACTGCAGTTTGCTTCTCCTTCATAATTTTTTTTCTTCTTTTTCCTGAGAAAGAATAAATTGAGTTAGACAAATGAGACAAGCGCCGGTGTTCTCTTTGAGATGACAGATGTGGAGAGATTATTTCTTCTCATGAAAGTTCAGACAGCTTTGACTCTTCTTCTGTTCGTGGTTAGATGTTGTCATTTTCCTGGCAGTGTTAGGAACACGTTCCTGTCGGTGTGACTAGAGTCAAACTTTACAAATAGTTTGAATAAACTTAATGATAAAAATCCTTTAAATATACAGAAACAAAACTGTTACACTTGTAGTTTTATATTTATCCAACCCACTGAACAGCAGATATTTCCATTTTTTTTGTGACAGTTCAAATCTTCAAGGTGATATGACAAGAAAAAATGTAAAAAAAGAAAAAGAAAAAAAGTAATTAATTAAAATGGAAGCTTCTGTACTTGAACGTAAAAGTGAGAGGTCACTGTTAAGACCTGACCCCAGATTTCTGATGAAAAGTTTAGTGACTCCATACAGTACTGCACAGACTCATGGGTAATTTTCTGTCATTGCAAATCATATAAATAAGCAGCAGGTTGATTATTATTTTTCACTGGAGCATTAAACCAAGTCTTTGCAGCGCTGTGGATCAGTGGTGACGTCTGATGAGCAGTTGACACCAGTTTAACATAAAAACATATTTTTTTCCCCGCCTCATTATTTTATTTAATTTAAAAAAAACCTGAGGTGTCTGTGGTTTAAAGAAAACACATTTCCTCGATGTTGAAGCATTTGAAGAAAAGGTAAACTTTTTTTATTTTTTTTAGTTGTAGTATCCGACTGTTGATGAAATCATTGTACGTTCAGTAGAACACGCTACAGTCATCGTGTCGGATTTGATGAACATGTTTTTACTTCTGTTTGCATTGATTTACACTTTGCCCTTGACTGAGTCCACCTCACAACTAACTTCTGTTTTTCAGAGTTTTTTTCCCCCCACATTCTCTGTCAGAAGTGCAACAACAACTTAACAACGCCATTACATAAATGACTCGTACTTCAGATGCGCTACAACACAAAAGGACAAAGTAATTTTTCAGCTATTAAATAAACACCTTTGGAGATTGATGCCTGCGACGTTCTCCAGAGAGCGGAGTGAAGAGTGTGTGTCCAGGGTGGTCACAGGGAGGCTCATTACACAACACTGGGCCTCAGGCTCAAAACTCAATTATTTTTCATTTCATTCACTAAAAGGATGCAGAAAAAAAAAAACCCAAACTGCTGGTTTTGACCGCTACGAGCAAATGCAACCAAAATAAAAATGTAAATAATCATTTATTGACAAGCATTTAAATTTCTTGTGCGCTCTTGAAATTGTTGTCGATGGTTCGAGGGCTTTGTACTCCACAAATACCAGTGTGTGAATATAATTTGTGTGAGAGAAGTCAGTGGATGGTTGAATTATTGGATGTAGAGTGGCCGTTCTTCTGCCCTAGCATTGAAGTACTTTTTAAATTTATTACATTTTTTAATCATATTAATTTCACTAAATAATTAAAGCAGTTAAAGTTAACACTTTTCAATTTTGACAGCCCTTGTTGTAAATATCATTTTTTTAAATTAGTCAGTTTATATCAAATATAATTGAATTGTTCAGTTTTTATTGCATTTCTAGACCATATTTTTGATAGTTTTTCATTTCCCCGTCTCCTCAGTCTAATCTTCAGGCTCTCGTTGTTGAACGTTGTTGAAGTTTGAAACACCATCTTTCGAGACCCTCCCTCCCTGCGGTCACAGAGCTTTGTGTGGCGTTTCTCTCGCCACAGTGTGGACTTTTATGAGCACTGCAGGCCTCAAAGTGACGTCCGTTTGTCTGGGCCGTTTAACACAGCGATGTTGACGTGTGTTTATTGCCCACAGTGGGCCACTGTAAAGCTACTCTAATTTACTTAACAAGTCCGTTGTATTGTCTCCTATTGTCTAGTGTGTGTGTCTGTTTGTGAATGCGTACACTCGCTAATGGAGGGTTTCAAATAAAGAGGCTTCGGAGGACAGCCATTATTCTGCACGCTGGACTAAGTAACGATCTGGGAATAAATATAAGACATATATATATATATATATATGTGTGTGTGTATATACTGTATATATGTGTATATACTGTATATATGTATATATGTGTATATACTTTATATATGTATGTATGTGTTTATATGTATATATACTTTATATATGTATGTGTGTATATATGTATATATGTGTATATACTTTATATATATATGTATGTGTATATATATATATATATATGTGTGTGTGTATATACTGTATATATGTGTATATATTGTATATATGTATATATGTGTATATACTTTATATATATATGTATGTGTATATATATATATATATATCTATATGTGACCCCTGCAAAGGATTTAGCGGCAGAGATATGTATACATGTGTGTATAAAAAGTATATATGCAGTATATTAGATATATATTTGCATGGACTTGTTTTTGATTTTTTTTCTTCACCCATCAGTTTAACTGTTTTTTTTTTCTCGTTCTGACTGTGTGTCAGATGTCAGTCTGTGTTTTTTTGATTACATCCTGTCAGTGCTGGAACAACAAGGTGGTAACAAGTTTCTGGTGGCAACAAGGCAACATGAGGTTTGTATCTGCGAGCAGCAACCTCAGTGTTACAGGATAGGATCTGGAGGCTACGGGGCTTCAGCCTGTGGCACGTAATCAGCTCACAGTTCAGTAAACGCCTGCGCTGCCTTCTGTCAGTCAGTCCCACAGCCTGTTTTTGGACGAGGCCTTGTTAAATGTGTTGTGTCTTCTGTGTCTGTGAGTGCAGCATGTCTTCGTCTCAGACTCGAGTGTTGTCCGAGAGGAAGAGAGAAGACACGTGTTAATTATCAGAGGAAGAGAGAAGACACGTGTTAATTGTAACATTGTAGGAAACAGTTCAGGCCGGTTTGAACCTGGTCGTTCAGTGAACGACTGTTTTTATCGCCTGGTGTGGCGCGGCTCTTTTCTCTAGGCAACAGTCAGTGCGTTAGAAAAATGCCTTATTAGTCTTAATAAACCAGATGAGGGCTTGTCAATGTGAACGCCTGTGTGTCTAATTACACCGAGTGCAATTACACCCATTTAAGCCTGAGGTTGACGAGGGTGCTCCCTCATTTATGATGAAAATAAATGACAGTGATGTGATAACGAGGCTGCTGTCACATTTTAATTACAGTAGTGGTTCTTTAATCACACACTGGTAGTAGTAATAACAGGTACATTTTATTGCGTTGAAGGCATTTTTTTTTAACCAGGATGCTCTCTGGAACTGATACTCACTGAACCGATTCACCTGAAGAGGATCAGGTCTTTAATCCAGCCCATTGTGAAGCTTCCTGCAGGTGGCGCCAACCACCCTAACCTGGGTTTGATCTTGCCCAGGAGGTGAACCCCAGGGTTCCACACCAATGACAGAAACTTTGAGCCACAATAATGATAATAATAGTAAAACATCCCTCCCCCACATCTGGACTTTCACTGTTGCAAATCTTAATTTTATCCCGACCCAAATTTCCCGTACTGTACCTTTAAAAGTTAGTTAAGCCCAAACACAACTCCTGACCTGGGTCGGTCGTAGGAAGTGTCAGCTGTTTCTGACACACCTTTTTATCAATATTCCTGGTACGAAGTCACATAAACCTTCCTTATCGTACAGTTAATGACGGCGGTGCCGTTCAACGCCGTCGTAACCATTTCAAACCAGCTCTCAGTGACGCTGCCGCGCCGCAGCGGCGTCACTGAGGGGCCGTGCTGACATTTGATCAGCTTTAAGAGGAAATTAGCGTCCACAGTTGAAGATCCAATTCCACTGCCATCGTTGTCAGTCAGACATTTCTTTTCCTGACGTGGCCTTTAATAAAAAGGCTGACTGCACACATCACCTACCGGAACACTCCGGCGGTGGGAGATGGAGCAGTGGAAAGACGAGACCCTCCATAAAGAGTCCCAGATAGTGGGTTGTATTACAGAGGAATCCTGTTATTGATGGTGAGGGAGAGGATGATTCACGGTTCCAGTCTC